AGGGGAGCGGAGGGGGGAGGGGGGGTGGAGCCCAGATTCCACCTCCTGAGGAGCTGTCTGAGGAGTGGCGCTTGGACTACTCTCATCAGTGTACTGGGTTTGGGGGGAAGGAGGACAAGTGTGACCACAGATCATGGCGGCATAGTGTGACAGGTGCCTGCAGAGCTGAGGGCACTGCAGAGAAGACCCTGCCTGAGTGCTGGGTGGATGCATGGCCCAGGGTCACAGCACACACAGGTGGAGTGTATACAGTGGACCGACGCCCTTTCTAGACATACTGTTTGTATTGGAGGTGACAGGAGGTGACTCTGAGATTGGAGGACCGTTTGAAAGACAGCTTTGAGGGTGAGGAGATCTTTCCCTTCTACACGTTCAGCTGTGCCTCTCAGGACCCTTGGTGATGGGCCTCCCAGGTATTGGGAGGGCTCTGTAAGGAAAGCCCTTATGTTACAGGAGAGTTTGGTGGTGATTAGTTCTTGGTATGTGTTCCTGGCTCTGGGAATCAAGGGCCTAGCGAATGGAAGAACAGTTTATTGGTGTGGAATGTTTACAGTCTGGTTGGTGGACAAGCAGATGGTTGTGTATGGGACACTGGGGAAGTGGGTGAGGAAGTCTGGTGCTGTGTGGGGATGGCTGGCCAGGTGAACAGTTGTAGTGTTATCCTCAGCGTTTAAGGAGGACTCTACAGGGAAGCTTTTGGGGCAGGTGATGACCAATATGTGCCAGTGTGTTTGGGGCCCAGGTCTACCATTTGGTTAGGTTGCATCTCCGAGATTCTGCTACTGGGAGTGACAGCCCGGTCTAGGTAGCCAGAGCATCCCAGAGCATGAATTCCTGGCTTCTCTGTCAACAGACCTTACTGGATTACTTCAGTGAATTACAAAGAAAGCAAAGCCAGGTCTCTCTCTCTCTCTCTCTCTCTCTCTCTCTCGTGTGTGTGTGTGTGTGTGTGTGTGTGTGTGTGTGTGTGTGTGTGTGGTGAGGCTCCTTTTAGGATGTTTTCACGCTCACAATGGAGCATTGGTGAGCTGTTCATCCTGGCATGAGTCAGTAATTTATTTCTGTTGTGCTTCATGATGCTGCATTGAAAACAACTCAGTTTCTTTTCTAATTTTACTGCTTTGCCTTCCACTGAGGAAAAGTTGTAAAAAAGCCTTGGGCTAGATATTCAAGCTGCCTCCAGCCCGGGATTTGTGATTTTGTGAAAGCTCCTTTGAGCCTAGGTCTGTAATGTGAAGGACTCGGTTTGTCTGATTTGCAGAGCGCATGTTTGCTGCGCTCTGACAGGTCTGTGATTCTTTCCTTTTGCAAGTGCTTTGCTTGTTTCTTTGGTGAGAGTTTCTCCACAGTGCTTTAAGAGCTCTCCCTGCTTCTTGAGAAGGGCTATGCAGCCTCTCTCCCCTCCAGCACCCCTTGGTCTGCTCCTCAGGGCCTACTTTTCTGGTTCCCCTGCTCAGCCTCTGACTTCTGTGTGTCTCTCCAGTCACCAGAGGCAAAGGCAGGCTTGCCCCACCTGCACTGCCCGAAAGGCGGCTTCCTGTGCGTCTAAATAAAAGCAGTTCTTCCAAGAAATGGACACTGTCAGGTCAGTCTGTAAGGGTTGGAATATACTGAGGAGCAAACGATCCTCTTTGTCCCCTCTTTGAGCTTGTGACTGGTACTGGGGGTGGGGGGGGCAAGCTAGACTCTCGCTTCTCTTGGCAAGTGGGCAGCACTTTGTGTAATGTTGTGGGTTGCATAGGGAGGAGAGGTCTTGTGTTCACCTTCATTGATGACACAGTGATGGGCCAGCGCTCATGCCTCACCAGGGATTTAGAGTTTTCCTGGGTAGTAGAGGCATCTGGTGTGAGGGCCATCACGATTTTGCCCTTTTGTGTTTGGGCTCTTCTGGATACTGGGGAGGTGAGGGTGTGTGTTTGAGGTTCATTTGGTGTTTGTTGTTATTGTTACTGTTCTGAGGCAGGGTCTCCCTGTAGCCCCAGCTGGCCTGGAACTTGCCATGTACACCAGTTGGCCCTGATCTCACACAGATCCACCTGCCTGTGCCTCTTGAGAGCTGGCATCAAAGGTGTGCGCTGCCATGCCTGGCTTCATTTTGGTGTTGACAGTGCACCAGGTCAGGTTTCCTTGGCGATGTGCTTCAGCACTTTCAGTGTCTGTCTTTCTAGATTCTCAGTGCATTTAGTGTGTCTCCACCCACAGATCCATCAGAACCCACCAAGGGTTTTAAAACATTTGTGTTTACTTTGCTGGGTGGGGTAGGAAGTGACGCCAAAGCACAACCAGGGCAAGTCCACTGGTTCAGGGGCAGCCCAAGGCAGGTCCTGCTGTTCTCAGGATGAGGCTGTCTGATTTGGGGTTCCAGGCGGCAGGCAGGCAGGCAGCTCATGTGTATCATCTGGTGGGCTCCTTCTGGATGGTGAGGGGCGCTGCTGGTACCTGCCTGTAGTCCGCACCTGCTCTTCAGAAAAGCCATCACTGGAGTTCTCCAAGTTCTCCAGCTTTTGGACAGAGGGTCTCAGTGGAGAGAGGGGGTGCTAGGGTGGGCCTGGTCTTTTCTGTTCTCTCTGCCTACAGGGTTTCCTTTGTCCCAAGGTTGTCTTGAACTCAAGTTCTTGAGTTCAAGCCCATGCTGGCTTTGAACTCCCGGTCCTCCTGCCTCTGTCTCCTGAGTGTAGATGACAGGTGTGTGCTTCTGTTCCTGGCTCTGCTTCCGTTTTGATGGATGCATTCTTTAACTATGTGAACGCATTCATTAAACTCCCAGCTCTTCAGGGTGACTTTGCAACCTCTGTGTCCTCATCTTCAGCGCTTGGGTTAACTCTCAGAGAACAGCCTGTCACCCTGGCCTGACTTACTGAGTGTCTGTTGGAGTCTTTGTAGCCTGTGGAAGGGGACCAGAAGCATTGTAGGTGGGGCAGGAGCATTTGTAGTGAGTACCCACGCTTTGACTCAGTGGCCCGGTATTCTGGGAATGCACCCCACGTGCCCTGGGAAGGTCATCCTCCCTGCAGGCTGCTGGCTTTTTGACAGATGATGCATGCTGACTCAGACTCTGTCCTCCCTGAATTCCATTTAGCTGAGTGCCTGGGGTTCCTGGCAGAGCATGGCCACGCAGTGCATTCCCACCCACCCCCAGCAGCACCTGGGGTGCTCTGGGTCCTCTCTCTTTGGCTCTTTCTTCTTACCCTGGTAGATAGAGCCTGTGACTA